AGCCACAGGCCCCGGGCGCCCCCTCGGCACTGGCAGACGCTGCCCGTCACCCCCGGGACGATGCTGAGCTTCAAACAGGGCCGGAGGCAGCCGCAGCCCATGGCACAACCCCCGGAGTCCTGCGAGAGACCGTCCCCGGTCACATTGGTCACAAGCTGTTTGAAGGAGACCTGAAAGAGGGACCAGCAGCAGCTGAGCTTCGTGCTCCAGGCGTGACACAGGCTGGTGCGTCCGTGGGAGCCGGGCACCGCAGGGCTCAGGAGCTGGGGGCAGAGCAGGGAGAGAGCGCGGAGGAGGCACGGAGGATGTTATTCCTGCAAGGAAAGGGCCCTGGTGTGAAGGAGCTGATGCTGAACGCAGCTGAGCATCCACAAGGAACACTGGGAGAGAGCGTGGAGGCAGGAGAGCAGGCGCTTGTGGAGGTGGAGGGAGAAGGATGGATACAGGAAAAAACAGGTTGGGAAAAGGCAGAGCTCCCAGGAGAAGCTGAGGAAGCAGCACTAAACCAGGGTGAAAATCTGGAGGCAGGTCTGGGACCACCCGAGGCTGGGGAGGCAGGTCTGGCAGCGGGATGGCAGCGTGCCGCAGATGAGCTTGGCCCGGCTGCGGCTCTGGAAGGATGTGCGCAGCTGGGGGAAGAGGCTGACCTGCCGCCAGGGCTCTCCGAGAAACTTGAAGTAAATCCTGGAGAGCACCTGGAGCCAGAGCCACCATCCTGGGGTGAGGCGGTAATGGGAGCAGCGCAGGGGGCCCGTGTCCTCCCCGAGGTGACAGTGGCTGCTGCCCCAGGGATGCTGGTGGAAGAAGTGCGGAGGTGCAGCCCAGGGAAGAGACTTTAGATGCCGACGTTCCATCAGCTCAGCGTGGAGGGAGCAGCGGAGCTGGGGCCGGGGAAGGGGAGGAGGAGGGGAGGGACCCCGCAGCCGCGGGGTGAGTCTGCGAGGGCAGAGGCAGCGTGGGGAGCGAGCGTGGGGGCAGAGGTGCCGCTGGCCGGGCCGCCCGCCGACGTGCAGGAAGGCGGAGCGGGAACAGATGTGCAACCGCTGGAGGCCCAGCGCGGTGATGCCAACGTGCAGCTGCTCGCAGAGGCGAAGGCAGAGCTGGGAGGGAGCGTGGCTTCGGGTGCGCGGACACTGGAGGAGGATGATAAACCACAGCGAGGACTGGGGGAGGAAACCGGTGCTGCTGCGGTGCATGGTGAGGGTCCTTCCCCAGCAGAAACACCTGCGGGGAGCCCAAATGGGGGTGGGCTGTTCCCAGTTCAGGCTCAGGCACTGGAAATGGTGGGGGCAGAGGAGTCTCAGGCAGACAGGCAGCTGTGTGGGGATCCCAGTCCAGAAGTCCCCCAAGGAGGGGGGGACCATGCAGCCATGCAGCAAGGGGATGAGGCTGAGGACAGAGGACGAGGGCAGGGCAAGCATGAGCTGCCACATCAGCCCATGATGGATCTGCATGGGGCAGGATTTGGGCAAGGAGAGGGGGCTGGTGCAGAGGAGCAGCCTGGAGCTGAGGGCAGTGAACGCAGCGCTGTCAGGGGGGACCCCCATTATCTGCCCGTGGTGCCAATTAGGGCGCAGAGGCCGGGAGCGGAGGTGGATGTAGATGTACAGCACCCAGAGGAGGAGGGGGAGCTGGAACTGATGCAGGGAGAGGACATCAGTGAGGATGGGCTGTTCCAGGAGCTGGTGGAGTCAGAGGACTCCCAGGGAGGCATGCTGCTGTGTGGGGGTGCCAGCCCAGAACCCCCCCAGGGAGGGGAGGGTCAGGCAGCTGTTCAGCTCAGGGAGGAGGCTGAGGATGGGGGACAAGGGCAGGATGGGCATGAGCTGCCACAAGAGCCTGTGCTTGATCTGCAGGGAGAGGAGACTGGTGCAGACAGTCAACCTCTGGAGGAGGCTGAAAGCCTGGATGTGCTGGAGGACCAGGGCACTGATGCTGATGTGCAGCTGTTTGCAGTAGTGGATGAGCTCAAACCGATCCCAGGAGGGAGCACGGAGGGAGATTTGCAGCTCCTGAGCAAGGCTGGCTCCTTGGATACCGAGCAGGGAGGGAGCGTGGCTCCAGATGTGCCACCCCTGGATCGGGTTGATGAACCAGAGTCAGCGGGAATGGCGGCAGAGGATGCTCAGGCAGCCATGCAGCTGCATGTGCAAGCCCGATGGGGAGGGGAGGGTGGAACAGCCTTGCAGCTCATGGAGGAGGCTGAGGACGGGAGACCAGGGCAGGATGAGCATGAGGAGCCACACGAGCCTGTACTTGATCTGCAGGGAGCTGGAGTCGGGCATGGAGAGGGGGCTGCTGCACGTGGGCAACCATGGGAGGAGGCTGAAAACCTGGATGTGCTGGAGGACCAGGGCACTGATGCCAACGTGCAGGAGCTTGCAGAGTTGGATGAGCTCAAACCGATCCCAGGAGGGAACACAGAGGCAGATCTGCAGCTCCTGAGCGAGGCTGGCTCCTTGGATACCGAGCAGGGAGGGAGCGTGGCTCCAGATGTGCAACCCCTGGATCGGGTTGATGAACCAGAGTCAGCGGAAATAGAGGCAGAGGATGCTCAGGCAGACACGCAGCTGCATGTGGGTCTCAGCCCAGAAGCCCTATGGGGAGGGGAGGGTAGAACAGCCATGCAGCACCTGGATGAGGCTGAGGATGGGGGGCAAGGGCAGGATGGGCATGAGCTGCCACGCAAGCCTGTGCTTGATCTGCAGGGAACTGGATTTGGGCAGGGAGAAGGGGTTGCTGCACGTGGGCAACCGTGGGAAGAGGAGGCTGAAACCCTGGATGTGCTGGAGGACCAGAGAACTGATGCCAGTGTGCAGGTGTTTGCAGTGGTGGACAAGCTGAGAGTGACCCTAGGAGGGAGCACGGAGGCGGATCTGCAGCTCCTGAGTGAGACCAGCTCCCTGGATACCGAGCAGGGAGGGAGTGTGGCTCTAAATGTGCAGCCCCTGGATGAAGTTGATGAACCAGAATCAGTGGAAAAGGTGGAAGGAGAGGACTCCTGGGCAGACACGCAGCTGCATGGGGGTGCCAGCCTTGAAACCCTCCAGGGAGGAGGGGACCATGCAGCCTTGCAGCTTGTGGAGGAGGCTGAGGATGGGGAACAAGGGCAGGACAGGCATGAGATGCCACACAAGCCTGTGCTTCACCCACAGGGAGCAGGAATCGTGCAAGGAGAGGGGGTTGCTGCAGGTGGGCAGCCTTGGGAGGAGGCTGAAAACCTGGATGCACTGGAGGCTCAAAGCGCTGATGCCAATGTGCAGCCACTCATAGAGGAGCTCCCACCACCCTCAGGAGGGAGCACAGAGGCAGATCTGCAGCTCCTGGGGACAGAACAGGGTGTGAGTGTGGCTCCAGATGTGCAACCCCTGGATCAGGTTGACAAACCAGAGTCAGTGCAAATGGAGGCAGAGGACTCTCGTGTAGACACGCAGCTGCGTGGGCCTGCCAGCCTTGAAACCCTGCAGGAAGAGGGGGACCGTGCAGCCTTGCAACTCATGGAAGGGGTTGAGGATGGGGAACAGTGGCAGAGCGAGCGTGGTCTGCCACATGAGTCTTTGCTTCACCCCCACGGAGTGACCGTCAGGCAGGGAGAGGGGGCTGCTGCATGTGGGCAACCGTGGGAGGAGGCTGAAAGCCTGGATGTCCTGGAGGACCAGGGCACTGATGCCGATGTGCAGGTGCTTGCAGTGGTGGACGAGCTCAAACCGACCCCAGGAGGGAGCAAGGAGACAGATTTGCAGCCCCTGAGCAAGGCTGGCTCCCTGGGGACAGAGCAGGGAGAGAGCGTGGCTCCAGATGTGCAACCCCTGGATCGGGTTGATGAACCAGAGTCAGCGGAAATAGAGGCAGAGGATGCTCAGGCAGCCATGCAGCTGCATGTGGGTCTCAGCCCAGAAGCCCTATGGGGAGGGGAGGGTGGAACAGCCGTTCAGCTCCTGGATGAGGCTGAGGATGGGGCACAAGGGCAGGATGGGCATGAGCTGCCGCATGTGCTTGATCTGCAGGGAGCTGGAGCTGGGCAGGGAGAGGGGGCTGCTGTGGGTGGGCAGCTTTGGGAGGAGGCTGAAAGCCTGGGCATGCTGGATGACCAGAGCACTGATGCCAATGTGCAGGTTCTAGCAGAGGTGGACAAGCTCAAACCTATCCCAGGAGGGAGCATGGAGGCAGATCTGCAGCTCTTGAGCAAGACCAGCTCCTTGGATGCAGAGCAGGGAGGGAGTGTGGCTCCAGATGTGCAGCCCCTGGATGAGGTTGATGAACCAGGATCAGTGGAAATGGTGGAAGGAGAGGACTCCTGGGCAGACACGCAGCTGCATGGGGGTGCCAGCCTTGAAACCCTCCAGGGAGGAGGGGACCATGCAGCCTTGCAGCTTGTGGAGGAGGCTGAGGATGGGGAACAAGGGCAGGACAGGCATGAGATGCCACATGAGCCTGTGCGTGATCTGGCACCCCTGGGTGCAGCTGGGATGCGGGAAGGGGAGCAGAGCCAGGCTCCTGGTTCAGAGGCAGGTCTGCGAGCTGCTCATGCTGCAGAGGAATGGGAAGGAGGTGATGGTGCACGTGTGTCCCCTCTAGCTGAGGCCGCTTCATATCCTGAGCCTGCCTCTGCTGCAGAGGGTCCTGGTCTGGAAGCAAAGCTGGGAGCACTCACTGGTCCTGATGGGCAGATCCTGGAGGATACGCAGAGTCTGGAATTACCGCAGGGAGAGAGGGCTGCTGCAGAGGGGAGGCCTCTGGATGGAGCCCAAATTCTGGACATGGTGCGGGGAGAGAGGCTGGAGGCAGGGGCGAGGGGTTTAGCCGAAACTCAGGGTCTAGGGCTAAAGCAGGGCCGTGATGACGGTGCATCTGTGCTGGCACCCCTGGTGTCTGAGCTGATGTTGCAAATCGGCACGCTAAAGATGGAAACGATGATGCAGGAGGATGTTCTCATTCCAGATGTGCGGCGGCTAGGTGCTTCAGGACAGGCAGCCCAAAGCGAGGTTCAGGAGCAGGTCTCAGCACAGGCAGATAAGGTGAGGCTTGACACTGCTTCCCAACAGCCAGAGGAGAAGCCACTGCGTGTGATGGAAACAGAGCAGGTAGCTGCTGGACCTGCTGAGCCTTCAAAACAAGAGGTGACACCAGCATCAACCCTCCACCTGAGGGTCCAACAGGAGGAAGATGCTGGGAATGATCAGTCGGGAATGGTCCTCAGAGACAGCTCACTGAGGGACGCAGCCAACAGCAGCATGCAGCCTCAAAGGCAACTCTTGAGAGAACAGAGTGAAGACCTCAATGTTGGTCAACAGGAGAAGAAGCAAGAGGTTGGGCGAAAAACAAGCCAAGAAGGCGAGCCCAGCCCAGGAGAGCCAGGGGCTGTGACTGCAGATGGGGCAGGAGCAGCCCCAAGGGGTTCTCCTGAAGCCTCCCTGGACCCCGACCACCTCTACAACGTGCTGTTTGTTGGGGACTCCCACGTGGGCAAAACATCGTTCCTGTACAGGTTGCACGCCGACACCTTCAACCCGCACCTGACTGCTACAGTAGGTAGGTACCCTCTGGCTCCTCTCCAGCATGGCTCTGCACCCACTTGGATCACCATTGCAATTCCCTTTCCTCCACCCAATGAGCCATTACACACATGTTATAGCTCATGCCGAGTGTGCTGTACAACCTGTCACCAATGACCAAACAGGCCCTCCAACTTCATATGCCTGGATGCTCCTGAGCAGGCAATGCTGGTCCTCCTTGCCCTCCTTAGGGCACCAGTACTAATGGCCCTAGTGCTGTTCTCTCTGCTTTGCCTTTCAGTTATATTCTCCTCTCTTACCCAACCTGGTTTTACTCATCGTGAGATTAGAGACCTTCCCAAAATCCAGCCATCAAAGATCTAAAAGCTGGAGGTTGGCTCAGGACCAGCCCGCTTGAGTTGTATCCTCAGACCACGCTGCACCATGAGCCTTCTCTGTCCACCCCCGCAGGGATGAACGCTACAATATCAAAATATCTGGTTTTGTGTCTCCTAGGACTGGATTATCAGGTCAAAAACCTCGTCGTGGACAACAAGCGCTTCGCTCTCCGCCTGTGGGACTCAGCTGGTCAGGAAAGGTAAGGTGCTGTGCTGTCTGCTTGAGGAGAGCCACCTGCGGGGTTCTTCTTTCTTTCCAGGTAGTTTAGTGGAAATGAATGTTCTTGGCTTTGCAAAGGAGGGGTGTTTAAGATGGGACTCTGTACAGCGTGAGATCTGATATAGAATAATAAAGGAAGTAATTAAGATAAAAATAAGCCCTCGGGCTGTTTGTACGGCCTCTGTGACCAGGATAGGAGCAAAATCTGGGTTTTGCCTCTTTTGTAGATGTGAATTCCCAGCTTTTCCACTGGGATTTCACATCATTCCTAGGCAAAAACCTCCTTAGACCGTATTGGTGACCACTTGAAACGCACGCAGGTACCACAGCATCACCAAGCAGTTCTTCCGGAAGGCGGACGGGGTCGTGCTGATGTACGATATCACGTCGGAGTACTCCTTCTCAGACGTGCGGTACTGGCTGAGCTGCATCCAGGTGGGTGAGGCAGGAAAACCTCGTTCTGTCCCCGAGGTCTGGGAACTGGCAGTGACTCAGAGGTCAGCATTTCCCGACCTGACCTCTGCCCCTGGTTAGGGACAGACATCTGGGGATGACCAAGCCCTTTGTAAAGGGCATTCTGCTTTGCTTTGGTTAGAAAATAATTTTTCTCAGAGGATTTAAATTCAGATACTGACAATTATCACATTTTTGCCGTGTTTGCTGGGGTAATTTGTTGATAAAATCATTATGATCAACATTTTAAAAATTAGAAAATGGTGCAGAGGAATGGAAAATGACGGAGCCCTGGCCCAGGCTGCCCAGGGAGGCTGTGGAGTCTCCTTCTCTGGAGATATTCCAGCCCCGCCTGGACGCGGTGCTGTGCAGCCTGCTCTGGGTGACCCTGCTTGGGCAGGGGGTTGGGCTGGGTGACCCACAGAGGGCCCTTCCAACCCCTGACATTCTGTGATTCTGTGAAAATGATTTTGATAACACTTTTAAATCAAGAATAATATACTTTGAATCCTGGTAGATGGGAGGTAACTTATGCCTTATTAAAAACTTCTTGTCAGAGATTTCCAGTCAAGTACGAAGTCAGTGTTTAAAAATGCTGGAACAAAACAGGATGTCACCTTGCTTGGGGACTGTAAATCTCAGCCAGAGCACCTTCCGGGGGGTTCCTGAGGTCAAACACAAAGTGAGTTCACTACGAGGGGAACTCGTGCAGTGCTCTGCCCTGTTAATAGACCAGGACAGATGATTTAAGGGGAAAAAAACCCTTTCTTAAATGAATCTAACAGCATTTAAGAATTTAAGGTTTTGTTATCAGCCCAAATCCCTGGGCATCCTTCACGGTGCTCCAGGATGCTCCTAGGCAGCATGGCCGGCTGTGATTCAAGGGAGATTCAGATGCGCTCCTGATCCTCCCCTCTTTAATTGCCCAGGAAGGAGCGGAAGACGGAGTCGCGATTCTGCTTCTCGGGAACAAAACCGACTGCGCTGCAGAGAGACAGGTCCCTGCGAAGGAGGGGGAACGCTTGGCCAAGGTAGGTGCAGGGCCCTGCCAAAGCCTGCTGTCCACCCGCGTTGGGCAAGGACAGCTGGGGGTGGGTGCCACCAGCCTGAGGACCCTTAATCTGCATTTTGTGCATCAGTATGCGGCAAAATGAGCTCTGAACCCATCTTTCACCCTTCACTACCTTGCTTTCCCCTTGCCATCTTAGTTTTAACTTGGCACCACCCCAGTAAAAACAGTTTATGGAGCTGGATCTGTAAATTAAAACACTTTCAGCTCTGCTCATCTTTGCTCTGAAGTGTCATGTGTCTTCCCAGCATTATATAAATAACAAAACCACCGAGCCCTACCCTATTTTAAAGACACTGAAATGCCTGAAGTACGATCAATCGCTTCAAATGTAGATGGCTAATAAAACTTAGGTGAGAAGATTCTTCATAGTTTAATTTCAAAGTTTATGGGATTCATGTCAGTATCCATTGACCAGTTTTACAAACGGAGACAGTGGGACAAGGGATTGGATGCTTTTTTTTGGCCCCCAAAACCAGTCACTGGCGGGCACAAAAGACCTGGGAACATTTAGCTACGTCTCCGTATTCGCTCCATTAACCAGAGCACGTCGCATCTCATTCTGTCTGCAGTGTCAGCCTTTTCCTCGCTATTAAAAGTTGGTGTTGTAGCTACCAGAAAAACTGGATTTCACCCTCACGTTCCAGTAAATAAGTTACTGAGTTATGTCCTTGTGTCCCTCCCACTTCCCTTTGATCATGACAGTCCCTTGGCTATTTACTCCCTTATTAAGCTATTCCAGTGCAAGAAAATCACATTTCTCTTTGGGCTCTGTGTCTTCCAGGAGCATCAGCTCATGTTCTATGAGTGCAGCGCTGCCTCAGGCCACAACGTCTCTGAGTCCATGGTCAGCTTAATCAGGTGAGGCAAGTGCTTGGATTTTGCCAGCTGTCCTGGATTTAATGGGCTCCCTCCATGCTTTTATAACTCCAAATGCCAGTGTGTTCACTGTCACCAGAGACTCCATGCACCCAAATGTCAGGGAAAACTCGGAGCAGCATGCGCACAGCTGGGATGAGCTGGAGAGAATAAGGTGTCTCCTGAATAGTCAGCATTGCAAGGAGATTAATAAAACCATTCTCAGGATGCTGCTGATTTCTCGCTGGGTTGGCTGAAATAAATTCTGTCTGTGATTTGATTTAGGTTGGCGTTTTTAGCAGAGCCCACAGTTCTCAAATTGCCCTGAGCTGCTTTCAGCCATGCTGAGCCTCCTTTACTGATGCTTGTCAAGACAAACAGCACAGTAATGCAAAATATGGGGGAAATACCTGGCAAATTTTCTTCCTTTTCTCCCAGGTTGCTCAAAGATTGTGAAGATGAATTAAAAAATAAGGCACGAGAGGTACCAAAGCCACCCCAGAAGAAGGGCTGCTGCTGGTGATGGACAGACCTCCCCCCCAGTGATCTGAAACTGCGGTGACAGCCAGAAAAGCATAAAAACAGCCCTCGGACACCATCTCCGCTCCCCACGTGTCTGCCTTCCCTGATCGCCCTCGGATGCTGAGAGCAAAAGCCGGCTGTCTCCCAGCCCCTTCCTCGCTCCTCTCCTGCCGTCATCCAGAGCACACGAGCTGTCTGAAAAGAAACCCAGCTGGATCTGAGATCCTGGAATGATACTGGCAGCAGCAGGGAGCAAAATCCAGTCTCGGGATAAAAGAAATTCAGATGTTGGAACAGGCTGCCCAGGGAGGTGGTGGAGTCCCCTTCCCCGGAGGTGTTTAAAAAAAGTGTAGATGTGGCACCTGGGGACATGGTTTAGGAGGCATGGTGGTGTCAGGGTGACGGTTGGACTTGATGATCTTAGAGGTCTTTTCCAACCTATGATTCTATGAACTGAATACTGGGAACCACCCGAAAGCTGGTGTATAAAATGAGGGGGTTTAGGACCATTGGTGCCGCTCTGCAGCGGTGACGTTTGCTCTGGCTTTACAGGCTGATTGGGTTTGACCTGGACCAACAAGATACGCGGCATATCCTAAATGCACTTTTTAAGTCTCTCCAGCTAGGCAAGGTAAAGCTGGCTCTTCTCTTTTCTGGTTTATCATGCCAGTGAGCAGTAACGGCTCTTGACAGAAAGCTACTAAAAGCTACTCAAAATAAGTTCAAAAGCCCCAAAATAAGGATAATAGAAGGAACACTGGCATGGTGGGATATATGATCAGATAAAAACCTTGCAAGAGCCCTGCTCATTGCGCTGCTGCCAGAGCAGATCTTCACACTGCTGCAGCAAATCTCAGGATGGGCCGGGGAGACGGAGCTGCTGCACCCTGCCCTTCTGCAGCTGAGACGGTTTCTTTCTGAAGTATTGAATTGGTTTTTAAACCCAGCATGAAAAATCTAAACAAGCACTTGTCCCAAATTCAAGGGTTTTTTTTTTTTGCTTTTTACAGCTTGATGCAGAGAACTACAGTTTTGCAGAGAAAGATGTACAGACTAAATAAATAAGAATACAAGTGTTTTATTTTAGTGGTTTTTTATATTGGGTTGCCTCACCCCCAGCAGTTCCACAGGTGTATTTAAAGACTGCTTACATGCAGATTTTGGGGAAGTAGGACTGCTCAGATAGGTTTGCTTTTCGTTATTTGTATGTATATTATGGCAAAGCACAGTAGTAACCAGTTTCTGCTTTACAAAAATATAGTGACAACAAGAGTTGGTTTTCTAATAACATTATTTAAAAAAAAAAAAGTGTATCACTCTGAATGTTTCTGACTGTTACAGCTCAACTTTCCAAGGAAACCAGGTTTAAGAGCTCCTGATGAGATTAACTAACATCCCCATTGATGGAAAATTTGCAGTTTAAGGTTAGTCTTTATCAGACAACGACAAATCTCCACAGGAGAGACCTGCAACGCACAGAGCCAGGCGAGAGCAGACGTTCTGGGTTCTGCCGCTCACAGAATTCCTGCTTGAACTGGGGTCAGCTCTGTGTGACACCCAAAAAACATTCCGTGGAAACGATGTTGATTTGCAGATGCATGAAGACCACCGACGGACCAAGCTCATGCTCAGAAAAAATCAGGGTTATGAGATTCCCCAGGTAGGGTACAGCTTTGCAATGACACAGGAATTTCCGAGTCTTTTATGGGTGACTTGTCTCCTTTGCATGCCCCATCTCAGTGCTCCAACACCTCGGTACCACTGAAGCTCCCATCCCCTGAGTGTCTTCCCCCAGCTGCCCCTGCCATGAGCCATCCTCCCACGGCTCTATCGGTAAAAGGCTTTCTCTTCTCTTCTCAATGCAAGACATTTATACTCCCATTCTGCATCAGCCCCTCTTTCCCATATTTCATTATAAAATACTTTTACTGGTGGAGCAGTGGGAGCAGCCTGAAGACGGTAGCTCCTCAGGAAGAGTTTACGTGTCAGCTCAGAGCTGTGCCTGGATTTGGTATTCAGGGTATCTAACAACGGGATTTTTGGGGTTTTTTTGGGTCTGTCTTCACTATTTCTGCTTTGCTGTTTTATCTTAAAATAACATAAGTCCAAGCACACTTTGCAAGTCTGGTCTGTGATCAGAGAAGCACCATTTTAGCCTGGATAACCCCAAAAGGCTCTTTTTACCGGGTCTGCAATTGTTCCCGGCTGCATGACCCCCATGCAGAGCTGCCCAGCTGTGTGTACACCAAAGCCATCTACCAGCTCAGCTTTTCGCTTCGGCTAAATTTGCTGGGATTATGTGTGGGAGATGCCGCTTTGCCGAGTGGTAGCAGGATTGCGCAGGAAATCGTTTTGATTTGCTTGAGGAAGGAGCTGAGGAGACCAAGGCTGAATTCTCCCATTAGATGGCAGCAAATGCAGCGATACCTTCCAATCGTGCAATATTGGTGCTGCAAAAACAGACCGGGGAGCTCGGACAGGGCCCAGAGGAGAGACCTGCAAGGGAAAAAGCTTCCTGGAGCAGCAGGCAGAAAGAAGCGTCTGTCTTATTCCACTAGAAATCAGGTCCAGAAAAAAGAGTTGAGATTGTGCCTAAAGGTGTTGCATAAAGCAAGTGTTACTCCACTCCAAGCTTGGAAATGAATTTTTCATTGCCAGGTTGAGAGAAACACCAGGAAGGCAATAAAGCGTGCTGGAAAACACGGTCAGTGCGTTGAGTTTGAAAGCATCTCTTCCACCTTTAATGATTCACCATCCCAGGGAACACTCTCACTCCAGGATCAAAGGGACTGCTCATTCACAAGCTGTTAAACGCCTGCAGGAGTATTTGGAGGAAGATCAAGGTCTGAGATATTAATAGCAACGGGGAAACACATATTTGTTTGGACCACAGGAATTCTTGTTTAAATCAGGTTGTTCCCCTTCGAGCTGTTTGGAATTCCTCAAGGCGCTCCACGTGAATGAGAGGAGCTGCCCCAGCCAAGCCAAGACTGCAGAAGATTGCGGATACCGGCCCAAAGTCAGCAGGTGTTTGCGACCGTCTCACTTTGACGCATCCACCTCGGAAGCAGAGAGCCCGGAGCAGCTCCTGACAAGCTGGAACAAACCATTGGTCACATTTCTCGGTACCCCAGCCACCAAGTCTCGGGTCTCACCAGGCAGCATCTCCCTGAATTTCACCCCATCCCCACTAAAATGGGGCTGCGGAGACCGTCCCGCTTCCCACACCGGGATTGACAGGGCAGGAAATTCAAACCTGAGGAGAGGAAGTCCTTCTTCTCGCAGCGTTTAATTCAACTGCAGAATTCGTCGCTGCAGGAAGTTGTTGAGGCCGAGAACATAAACAAGGCTGAAGAAGAGACTGGAGAGACACCAAAACCACCCGGCACAGCCACAACAAGCAGCTTCCTCTGACAATGCATTTAATTGCAATTAAGGACTGAAGCCCACGTCTGAGAGCTGGGTGAGGCTGAGCGCCCTCGCTCCGGCTTGCTTCCGAGCTTTTCATGCTGGGGGTGGCTCTGGGAACCTCCACCTGCTCCATCTCCCAGCCCTTTACTCCTGGAAGCCCTTCCCCTACTTTTTAGGGCTTTCCCAAAATTTTTGGGGGGTTGTCACACCATGCCTGGTCACTGCTTGTCACTCAAGCTGCAGGAAAGGGCTTCTATGTCCCTGTGGGGCTGGCAGTCAGTGGGGTTCAGGGGGGCACTGGGTGGGTCTCGGTGGGGAGCACAGATGCAGCTCAGTGGACCTGGAGGAGGTAAATGGGACCAACGGGGCTCCTGTAGGGTCTGGGGGGGGCTCCTGTAGGGATTATGGGGGTTCTCTAGGGTCTGTGAGGGCTGCTGTAAGGTCTGGGGTGCTTCTGTAGGGATTGGGG